ATGCATAAAAAAGCATTTTAAAGAGGAGACTCTGTACTTTCGTACGCTTTTGATCCCAATAAGCTACAATTTTTTGTTTATACCGTGCACCGTCGCAAACTCGAACCATTATTTTTCAATTTTGCATGCTCGCGCTTTGTCATCCGCCATTTTCTAATAAATTTATTTTGCAACATTGAAATAAATTGATTCTTAAAGTAGAGATTTTTAGCTTCATTTCCATATTTTATAGAACTTTCTATCTTTATTATTTACGAAGTTATCGTCAGTTGAAATTTGATGAATTTTTCCCACATTTTCAGTGTACCGCTTTTTTTTCGGGTGAGTGTATAAAACGCTCTTGCGCCAGAGCTATCGGCGGCTCGGCCGCCAGAGGCCGGGCGGTAGTGGGGGAACAGGAGGCGTCGTCTCCTGAATCGGCTCGAAGTGTGCAACTATTTCCGAGCGCTGTTCTACCGCAACATTCTAGAAGTCTAATTTCATTGCCTATACATTTTCCCGAAAGTATTTGATTGATTGTGATATTATGCTAGACTTTTCTAATACATCTTACATATCAATTATATTAGCACGTTTTAAGCATATTTATGATAATCACTACTTATATAACTACCAATGTAATGTAGGTTTCTTTCTATTGTAATGTATTATACTCTTTAATTATTTAATTTCTACCATTTCATGTAAGAATACGTAAGATATCAGTAAAGCATAATATACTTATAATTTTTTCTACCTATCACTAAAGATAGAATACTATAAAATAACCAATAATAGCTTATTGCTAAGTCTACTAGATAGTTGGAAAATATGAAACATGTTGTTTTCGTTAATAGTAAACCTAAATAAAGCTTGAAATTTAATATATATTATCTTGATATTGTTAACTAGTGTACTAAGTTAGTTTATCCTACCAATGTTATCTAGGAAGAGTAGAATGATACTTTACATATAATTACTTTAGTCATAAACCATGAATCGGTAAATGCTCAAGAGCTTTTGCATATGTGGCAAATGAATGTATTATAAAATTTCTATATTTGTTATATATTAAATGTAACATTACAAGTCAGCCGGATTAATTGAAAAAATTTGAAAAAAAAGGAAACAACGAGGCAAAAATTACACATACTGTAATAGACCTTGTAGATCAATATTTTTTTGTATATATATTTTACTTAATAAGAAAAATGTTGTTTTTATTAAATATTAAATATTAAAATTAGCAAATATATTAGAACTCACTCGTTTCTAACATCGTTCGGTGAACTGGCTCTTAAGTTCAATAAATCAATTATTTGTACTAAATAAATTTTGAATATGATTCGATTACGTAATGTGCATTTCTTTATTTTAATTTTTATTATTACTTCAAATATAGTATACAAATACAAATTTATATAACATCGGTAAATTATTAAAACATAACATATTGGGTGACGTTATCGTTCTCGTTGATCTTCTTCGGAAACATTTTCTTATACCAAATAAAAATGCTTGTACTTTATTTATTTATTCTCCTTTTTTGTGAGAATGTTAATTATTATCTAATAATTTAAAACAATTTTTTTTTTGCTTTTAATAATATCAATGAATGAAATTCGATTTAGATGCCGGTAATTTGATCAAATTTTTCGTCCATTTGTTTTCATCGAGCAAGGAATGGACGATACACAAAACAGAAGTTAATAATGACAATTCGTACGACTGTATATCAGATAAATAATCTGCAACTACTAAACAACTTGACTAACGGTTGTAAATTAATTTACGCACATTTCGTAATTTTCTGATCTTTCTTCACACATGTTGATAGTCTCCCGAATATTGTTCTTCAAATGAGTAGTTTTCCGGAAGACAATAATGCTGCCGGCAATAATAATCCTGACCATCTTCATCTTTGTGACACCACGTTCCATCGGGGAAGTATGGAAACGAAATGTACGGGTAATTTTCAAAATCGAACATTATTTCACGTACTGGGTAGTAAGTACTTGTATTCTTTAGTAGACAGAATATAGTGCAGGCTATCCATGGTTTCTCGACATCATGAGAGGCCTGCTTCCATGAGGATCCTATCCAATTTTTCAGTTGGATTGTTGGATATCTGAAGTTGGACGTTTTCAGTGTTCCTCCGAATATCCTGCATATTATCAGAGCAAACCGATCGATTGTTCGGCTGATGAAAAAATTACAGCTGAAATCATTGCATATAACAACATCGTAATACGGTCCTTTGCAATTGGCCGTTCTTTTATTTCGTTGTACGCAAAATCGTCGTCTGACTTGTACGCCTTTAGATTTCTCGATGCAACTGCTTTTACAGGGGCCTACTTCCCATTCACTCCATTTATCCTTTCTATAATAATTAAAGATATATGGCGGTTCTTGAACGGGCACGCATTTTCCACCGCGGCATTCTCTCCCGGGTGCGCAATATGTTCCTGAAAAAGGAATTAAATTAATTGCATTAAATTAAAAAGTATGTGAGAAATTAACAAAAGAAAGCGTACCATCCAACGGCGCTCCAATGCGATTATATGATGTCTTATCGTCGGACTTCATACTAGGCATCTCGCATTCCAAAGTATGACATATATCATGCAACGTGACTACGTTCGCATCATGGTCACGAAAATATAATTCGCATTGTGCTTTGGCAGTCCATTCTCTTCCGGGTAAATCGTGATAACGCAAATGATAGAATGCATATGCGTCATCAAGGTTTATCGATCTCGCCTGATTTCTAAGACACTCATTGTCGAGTTCTTCAATTTGGTTACGACTACACTCGGACCATGTTGCCTGGCCTCTTTTTATCCAGTTTTCGCTCATCAAGTAAATGTTCTCATTACATTTCCCACCCATCTCTTTATCGTGACGTACTCCTAAACTTTGAAACAAATAAATAATTTATTTTTACAATATATTTACTTCTTATCGTTTATTTGAAATACTTTTATATAAACAAACTGAATAATAAAAGAATTATATCTCTAAAAAAAAATGTCTTTATTTTTTATCAAATATAATATAATAATAGCTGCAATTGGTGAAAAATAATTTATTTTTCACGTAGTAACTTATTCGTCTACACTGAGACATTGTAATAAACACCGATTTTAAATTGAGATAATTCAAGTGTACGAAAGTCAAATACATTGATCTCACAACAAATAATCAGAAGTGTTAATAATAATTTTTTAAAATAAATTCCTACTTAATTCATACATTTTAATTCTTCGTTATGAAATCAATGTATTTAATTTTCGAACACTCGAAATATCTCAATCTGAGGTCGGTATATATTTTGCTTTCTCAATATAGACGAATAAATTTTTATATGAAAAGTTCATTATTTTGCATCAACAACTGCGACGACTCCGTAACCATTATTATATAATTAATAGATTACCATACGAGTCTTTCTCTTTCTCTTTGTCTTTAAATATATACATATATTGTACAATCAAATAAATTCTTATAAAAAATAGTATTTATAAATAATATATACGTAAAATAAATATATATAAACTTACACATGAGCAATTTCATGAGCAGCAATGTGGGTTGATGTAAAGCCAGTATGTATTGTTCTAGGTTTAGCATCGAATTTTGCTATTGCGCAAGACAAGCGCCCACACACTTGCCCTACATAGGCTAATCCCGCAACTCTATCTTTATCTTGTTTTGTCATTGAAAAATCTAATCCAGATATTTAAAGACCAATGTCCCAATGACACTTTTTTCTAAGACCAAGATTCGTGTAATTGCAGAACGATTCGAGTATTTTCGAAGCAGTGAATATTTCCTTTTTCTCAAAATCGTAAACTGGTAAATCTTTCGGTTGTTTTTGCATAATTTCTAAATGCACCAATCTAATATCGATAGAAACACCCAAACTTGGATGATGGAACAAAATTTGGATTTGATTCACGTATGCAAATATCAGATTGCGTAACTTTTCATAATTAAAACGTAAAAAAAATTTGATCAGTGGCTGATCTGTCGAGGAAAACCGCCAATTCTACGATTAATTTCTGTTGCGTATTTCGCACGAAACGTTGCTTCGACTTGAAAATGTCGAAATGATAAAGATTTGAATTAGCAAAATGTTGCAGTGATCTTTTGATAAGGTGAGGTTTTCCGAATGAAAGATTAATTTGTTCTTGAACGTAAATGTCGTCGAGTGAAGACAAAGACGCAAGGTCATTCCGCAAAGGTTTAATCTCAAAGTTGTCGTTCTTTAGAAAAACGAGTCCTTCCTACATTAAGAAAATATTCATTTGTTTTTTGTTTCTCATGTTCATGTATAAAATAAGAAATAATAAAGGTTAAAAGTAAAAATTTTAAGACAATTCGTATTTTACATGATACTACCGACCAATCCATATTCGTCGCAAAAGTTGATAATTGCTGAACTGACATGATCTCTGTGAATATATAAACAAGAGTCCGATGCTTTCAACTGCGACAACTTGTCTTTTAAATGATATTTCCATACTTCATACTCTGACAATACAATCCGATCGTTTTTATGCAAGTTCAGTTGAATCAATTGTCCAAAAACTTTTAGAGTCAATGATATCTATAAATGGATGACAATTAAGAAAATACTTGGTGATTATGGCATATTTTAAACGTTGCACAATGAAGCAGTACAATAAAACGTACGTACCTCTTTTGCGCCTGTCGGGTTCCATGCCGGCAGCAGTATTGTTTCAGTATCTTGCGTGATATATGCATACGTTTCATTTAGCAAGGTTATTAACACCAATTTTAGTATAAAAAACATTTTACTTTTTGCGTTTCCCAATTTTAAATTATATATTAAGTAATTTATACAGACACGTTAGAATACTCTTATGTTCATCGTATCTCATAAGATCGCGTATCAAACACGTACTGGCATCTGTATTTAGGAATATGTTTCGTGTCGTTTGACTTTTGTTGTATATTCCTTCTTTGCTATATGTGTATGTATAAATATTATTTCGGAAACCCAAATTTGAAAAGAGAGAGTGGTGCTTATGATATCAGTATAGATTTGGAAATTGAAATTTATTGCTAATATGTATAGTCAGGGCCGCGCCAACCCGAGGGTGCAAAGAGTGCATTGCACCCGGGCGGCACAACAAAGGGGGCGGCAAATTCAGTTTGTTTTATTTATGAATCCCAGTTATTGCGTGAATTATTCGAAAAATCTTTCACAGATATAGAATTTTGATTCTCTTCTATTTTTTTTTTTTGAAGGTTTTGTTATAGATTTTATATTTTTTGTGCCGATTCTGTTTTGTTAATCCGACGTCATACATATGTGACACATAATTAAAAAAAACAAAAGTATGGCTGTGGTAATAATGCGATATTGTTAATAGCGATTCTCGTTTGTTGTTTGTGTGGACTCGAAAGCCGTAGATCGTAGACCGCTGTCAGTGCTCGGAATTAGATACCCATTACTCAAAATTTTGATCGTATTGATTACATTTAACGAATACGTTTTGAACTTATTAGTTTTTGTTGGTCAATGTTTCAGAAAAATACATATAAGCAAAGGTAAATTACTTTTTTATAATGTATATATTTAATATAATATTAAACCGTTAATAAATATATAATCTTCTAGTTTAAAATTTATAACATAACTATGTTTACTTATTATCTATAATACGTATTCATTGACTTTAATTATTTTGTTAATTAAAACTAAAAATTATACAATTTTATGTCAATTTATGTTATGTTAATATTGTTAGTGTTGTAGCTTGACTTTTTTTATAAAAATAATTGATTTTTTCTCAACATGCTAAAAAGTTAATTGATTATCTATACATGTCAGATGGAAAAAAAGGCTTTCAAGAGCTGAATATCAAAAGTAGAAATTAGAAAAAGAAAAAAATATTAGTAAAAATACAACTAATATTTCAAAATTTTTTGAGCCCACGTTTTCAAAAAATGTAAAATGTACTGAACCTCCAAAAGAAAACGTTTATACAGAAGAGAATCAAGATTTCACATCTACAAAGGATTCGTTTAATAGTCCGTGCAACATCGAAGGCGTCTCCAATACTAAAAGCGTATCAGTTACAAATGTAAGTGCCTCTTGTATAAACGAAACTGTCAGCAGTACATCTGAAAAAAACGTGCACTACAGATGAAAGCTCCTACAATATTGATGATTTTCATGATCCAGGATTGTGGCCTAAAATTTTAATAGTGTTAGAATGACTTTAATTGATATTGGACCAAGACAAATTCAAAACTTTAACTTTCCCGTAGATAGTAAAAAAAAGTCATTTTCTTCAGAATATTATTATAAACATTTAAGTAATAACGAAAAAGTTCACAGAAATTGGTTATTATATTTAAAATTAAAAGACGCCGCGTATTGTTTTTGTTGTAAACTTTTTAATAATAAAATTAACGTTTTTAATAATGAAGATGGTTTTAAGGATTGGCAACATCTATCTAGAACTTTAGAACGACACGAAAAAAGTGAAAAACATGTTAAAAGTTTTAAATCGTGGGTTGATCTCAATAAGTCATTAAAATATGATAGAACGGTTGATACAATTAATGAAAATATCATTAAACTAGAAAAAAATCGATGGAAATTAGTACTTGAAAGAATTATACATGTAATTCAATATTTGGCAGTACAAAATTTGGCGTTAAGAGGTACCAATAATAAATTGTATAAAGAAGAAAATGGAAATTTTTTGAAATTAATTGAAATGATTGCTCAATTTGATAATGTCATGTTAGAACATATAAATCGTATACAAAATGATAATAATAAAATGCCTCATTATTTGGGTGATCGAATTCAGAACGAATTAATATACTATAATAGGTAAAAATGTAAAAAATCAAATTATAGAGATGTTAAAATTGAACAAATATTATGCAGTTATAATAGACTCTACTCCGGACGTATCTCATGAAGAACAAGTAACTATCGTTGTACGATATGTGCATTTAAATAATGAGAACAAAAAAATTGAAATAAAGGAACAATTTTTAGGCTTTTGTTCTATTTCAGATACAACAGGTAAAGGATTAACAAATTTTCTTATTGATTTTTTATATCAAGAAAATATTAATATTTACGACATGCGTGGTCACGCATTACGATAATGGGGCAAACATGAAAGGGAAACACAACGGCCTTCAAAAAAGAATTTTGGATATTAATCCAAGAGCATTTTATGTACCGTGCGCCGCGCATACCTTAAATTTGGTAGTTAACGATGCCGTGAAGGCTTCTCTAGAAATAGAAAATTTTTTCAACATTATTCAAGAAATATACGTATTTTTTTCGACATCGATATATCGTTGGAAAATTTTAAAAGACGAATGTCCCACTTTAACTGTGAAACGAGTTAGTGAAACAAGGTGGGAAAGTAGAATTGATGCTGTTAAGGTATTCAGATATAATTTAGATTCAATATATGATGCTTTATTTAATTTGTATAATGATCAATCCCGAGATAGTAACAGCAGAAATCTCGCCAAATCTTTACTAACAAGAATAAAGTCGTATAAATTTATATGTTCTGTGGTAATTTGGTATCAAATTTTATCCAAAATTAATGTTGTTAGTAATTTGATGCAAAAGTCTGATATAGTGCTACCAACAATAATACAAATGCTGAAGAACTTAACAGCTATTTAAAACAATGTAGATCTGATGACGGTTTCAAAGATATATTAGAAAATGCAAAACAAATTGCACAAGACATGGAGTGTGAAAATGAATTTCCTGCTTCTAGTGTAATTAGACCACGTAAGAAAAAAAACTTTTTATGTACGAAGCTATGGATGAAATAATTGACTCTCCGGAAAATTCGTTTAAGATTAATTTTTATTTTGTTATCTTAGATATAACAATAAGCAAAATAGATGAGCGTTTTGAACTTTTAAATGACCATAATAATACTTTTCAGTTTTTGAACGATATTTATCTATTAAAATCAATGAGTAAAGAGATGAAATTAAAATATTGCATAGACTTGCAAATTAAATTATCAGATGATTTACGAAAAGCAGCTGACATAGATGCACTTGAATTGTGTCAAAAAATAGAAAATATTTAGATTTATTTAAAACCTCAGATGAATCCATTAGCTGTTTTAGAATATATTTTTGCTAATGATCTTATTAGTATATTTCCAAATCTTGCAGTAGCTTTGCGCATATTTTTAACAATACCTGTAACAGTGGCTACGGGAGAAAAGATCTTTCTCTAAACTAAAAAATAATAAAAAATTATTTAAGATCGACTATGACACAGAAAAATTGTCCAATTTAAGTATTATTAGTATTGAAAATAGGACAGCAACTGAACTAGATTTAAGTAATATAATAAATTAATTCGCAACAAAAAAAGCACGTAAAGTTAAATTTATATAGATTATATGTTAATATAATCAATTTTAATAACACTAAATGGTTATTAAAAATTCAAAACGTTCATATCTTGCTTATTGCCGTATCGAAGAGATTGAGCGCGATTGCGGCATAATGTATTACGACGTAAGCATTTTTAATATAGAATTCATAAATAAGATAAACTAAATATATATTAATATATATTTTAATATTTGTTTTTAATTTGGCAATTTATTTTACAAATTTATACTCCCTTCGGCGCGATTCTGAATATACATCTTTATGCTAGAATTTTATGCAATCTGTAAAAGTTACAGGAAAATCTAAAAGTTATTTTAATACTTACCTGGATAGATGAAAAATATTATCATAATATTTATATTTCGAATTTTTTTTCCTCTTGTTTTGCATATGATTTACCTGTAACTTTCAGAGATTATACAGTAATCGCTCATTAATTTGATATTTAATATGACAAATATATAATAAAAAAGGGCGGCAGTGTAGAATTCGCACCCGGGCGGCAAATACCCTTGGCGCGGCCCTGTGTATAGTATGTAATATGATTGGGGAAAACGTGTAAATCCGAGAGAATGTAAAGATTAACAACAGAGAGATCACAATTCTAAGTAAATTGAAAAGCAATTGATTAATTTGAGATCTCGAGATGTTCTGAGAAATCACATAATTTTTCTGAGAAGCAAAGTATTGCTCGCACGTTTAATTCACGTGCGATTCGCGCAATGCGGGTACCGCTCGTCGGGCTATATTAGAATCTGTATAACTGACGTATGAGTGACGTGTGATTGACGTATTCTTATGTGTATATTCTCCGTATGGGATTATGTTGAATTTAGAATTTAATTCCAAACAAAAGTGATTTGAATTAAAAATTTCTTTTGTTTATTTTAATAGCTTAAAGAACCATAAAGAAACTGATATGATAAAACTGACTGATTATAATGCACTTGAAACTATTGTGTTCAGCGTGAGGTATATGAATTTAAATTTAAAAAATACAAAGGCTATGTTTAATTTTTTTTCTTATTTAAATACATGTAATATAACTTTTAATCAAATTTGGTCTATTAATGCATCTGACAAGATATTGTATTAAAGAACTAGTGCAAAATTTACAAAGGTGGTATACATTTTTACTACATATATTATTTACATATAACATATGTATATATTATCAAACTTATTGTTAGTTGTTATATATATCGCCAGTTTTACATAGTTTTTGTGAATCTTTATGTGTATTTAATTTAAAAAAATTTTAATAAGTATATATACTGTAATACATTAGGTATAATTTTAAACGTTTATAAATTTATGAATGTGATATAAAATTTATGCTAAAACATATTGTTTATGCCAAATTTTTATCAATATTCTTCGATTTACTGATAAGTTATTAGTATTTGGTTCGTTGCAAATAATATCTCGAAGTTAACATAAAACAAGAATAAAGACGTTGCATTAATTACCTGTCTATTTTATTGAATGTCTAATAATATGTATTAGTTAACATCTCTATGTTCACATAAACAAAATTAAAATATTAATTGATAAGGTTAACCAAAATTCTATTTCTTTTCCATTAATTTCTAACAATATTGATCGATTTATTAAGAATTATTACATGTAGTTCATTATTAGTTGTTTGAAAATTATGTAAAAACATTTTTATACTTTCTTAATAATTATAATTAATTGTATTTTGTAGTATAATTGATGCTACGTAAAACAGAAGTTAAGAAGGATAATTCGTCAGAATCAGACGATTGGTACATGAAGTAACAAACTGGACGGACGATTCTGGACTGATTACGTGCGTTTTGTGGTCCCAATTTCTTCACATCTTTGTTTGCGCATTGATAATTTGTTGAAAATTTTTTTCTAAATCGGTAAATCGAGAAACAATAATGCTTAGGGTAGTAATAATCTTTTCTTCAATGTTCCATCCGAAAAATACGGGATGAATTAAATCGATCTATTTCGTGGGGCGTAATAAGTAACGACGTCTTTTCGTCGACAGAATATGGTGAACGTCATTCATGGCATGTCAGTATCGTGAACTATTTGCACTTCCATCGCTGAAGCGTCCAATTACGGCGCATTAAGACTGAAAAAGTCGCATTTCATGGAATGAACTCGTCGATCGTCTTGCGTTTCTCATTGTGAGTAAAGAATGGACAATACACAAAACAGAAGTTAACAAGGACAATTCGTTCGACTCTAGGTAAGCAAATAACGATTGTAAAATTAAGTAACGTGCGTTTCGTAATTTCTTTGGATCCTTCTTCACACAGGTCGATAATCTCTCGGATATTGTTCTTCAAATGAGTAGTTTTCCGGCAGACAATAATGCTGGCGGCAGTAATAATCCTGACCATCTTTATCTTTGTGACATCACGTTCCATCGGGAAAGTATGGGAACGAAATATATGGATACTGATCGAATTCGAACATTATTTCACGTATTGGGTAATAAATACTTGTATTCTTTAGTAGGCAGAATATAGTGCAGGCTATCCACGGTTTCTCGACATTATGAAACCGCTGCCTCCATAAGGATCCTATGTTATTTTCCAGTTGGATTGGATGATTGTGCTTTTGCAGTGCGGACCTGAATGCGTTGCATATTAACTGAGCAAACTGAGAGATTGTTTTGCGTTTGAAGTCATTACAGCTGAATTCATTGCACATAACAACATCGTAATACGGTCCTTTGCAATTCGCCGTTCTTATATTCCGGTGTTCGCAAAATCGTCGTCTGATTCGTACGCCTTTAGATTTCTCGATGCAACTGCTTTCACAGGGGCCTACTTTCCATTTACTCCATTTATCCTTTCTATAATAATTAAAAATATATGGCGGTTCTTGAACGGGCACGCATTTTCCACCGCGACATTCTTTCCCGAGTGCGCAATAAGTTCCTGAAAACAAATAAATTTAATTAATTAAACTAAAAAGTATGTAAAAGATCAGCAAAAGAATGTGTACCTTCCAACGCCGGTCCGATGCGAATGTGCGATGTTTTATCGTGGGACGTTAAATGAGGATCTGGCGTCTCGCATTCTAAGGTATCACATATATCATGCAACGTTACGACGTTCGCATCATGGTCACGAAAATATAATTCGCATTGCGCTTTGGCTGTCCATTCTCTTCCGGGTAAATCGTGATAATGCAAATGGTAGAATGCATATGCGTCATCGAGATATTTTGATCTATTCTGTTGTTCAAGACACCATTTGTCGACATCTTTCTTTTCAATTATGTTACGACTACAATTGGACCATGTTATTTGACCTCGTCTTATCGGGTTAAAGCCCATCACGTATTTGTCCTTATCACATTTCCCACCATTAGGATCTTCATCGTGTTCCATTCCAAAACTTTAAACAGATAAATAATTGATTTTCAAAATATCGTGCACTTCTTATCGATTATGTGAGATCTTTTTGTATATTTTATAGTTTATTAACAGTAAACACACTGAATAATGAAAGAATTAAATATCTAAAAAAATGGTGCTACTATTTTTTTATTCTTTATCTAATATGATACAATAATGGCTGCGGTATTTTAGTGTGAATTAATTTATTTCCATACAGAAACTTATTCGTCTACACTGTGACATTAAAATATACACCGATCTCAAATTGGGATACTTCGAGTGTACGAAAATTAAATACAATGATCTTACAAGAGAGAATCAGAATGTTTAATAATTTTTTAAAATAATTTTCTATTTAATTCATACATTCTATTTCTCTTTTGTGAGATCAATGTATCTAATTTTTCACTCAAAGTATCTCAATCTGATATCGGTGTACATTTTAATGTCTCAATGTGGAGGAATAAATTTCTATCTAAAAAATAAATTATTTCGCACCAACAACTGCTGCGTAGCAATTATTATAGATTTGAAAGATTAACATACGCGATAGCCTTTCTCTTTATTTATTGTCTTTAAATATATACATACATATGTTACACAATCGAATAAATTTTTATAAAAAATATTATTTATAAGTAATATATACATGAAATAAGTAAATATAAACTTACATGTGACCAATTTCATGAGCAGCAATGCGGGCTGATAATGCGAAGCCAGAATTTGTGGTTCTAGGCATAGCACCGAATTTTGCTACCGCGCAAAAATGCCAGTGGTTGCACAAGTTCACCCCTGGAAAGGTAAGTCCCGAAACCATCTCATTACCATGTCTGTGCTTATGAAAATTTAATCCGGTTAAGTAAAGAGCAAGATCCCAATGATGTTTTTTAAAAAGACTATTAGTCGAATATCTGCAGAACGAGTTAAGTATTTCCGCACCGCTGAATACTTCTCTTTCGTTGAAGTCATAAACTGGCAAATCTTTCGGTTGTTCTTTCATAATTTCTAAATGTACCAACCAAATATCGATGGGATCACCAAAACTCGGATGACGGAACAACATTTGGATTTGATTCACGTATGCAAATATCAGATCGCGTAACTTTTCATCATTATAATATAAAAAATTGTTGTTTTTATCAGTTGCTGATTCGTCGAGAAAAACGGCCAGTTCTAAGATTAATTTTGGTTGTGTATTTCGCACGTAACGTCGCTTCGGCTTGAAATTGTCGAAATGATAAAGATTTGAATTAGCAAAATATTGCAGTCTTTTGATAAGGTGAGGTTTTCCGAATGAAAAATTAATTTGTTCTTGAACGCAAATGTCGTCAAGTAATGACAAAGACGCAAGGTCGTTCCGCAAAGGTCTAATCTCAAAGTTGTCGTTTTTCAGAAAAACGAGTCCTTCCTATATTAAAAAAATATTTATTTGTTTTTTGCATTTCATGCTTATATATAAAACAAAGAGCAATAATGGTTAAAAGTAAAAATTTCCAGACAACTCGTCTTTTATATGATACTGACCAATCCATGTTCGTTGCAAAAGTTGATGATCGCTGAACTGACATGATCCTTGTGAATATATAAACAAGGATCCGATGCTTTCAACTGCGACAATTTGTCTTTTATATGATATTTTAATACTTCATACTCAGGCGATACAATCCGATCGTTTCTATGCAAGTTTAGTTGAATCAATTGTCCGAAAACTTTTAGAGATAATGGTATCTGTAATTAGATAACAGTTAAGAAAAGACTTGGTGATTTTCGCATAGTGTGTTGGCAGTGCCGGATCTACACATAAGCTAGATAAACTACAGCTTAGGACCTCACATTATAAGAGAGTCTCCTTAGTATAGAAAAAATTTTAAAAAATGTATTTTTAATCAGATTTGTTAATCAAATTGATAATAAAATAATTACAGCAAAAAATTATTAAAATAATAAAAAATAATTTTTGTAACAGACGAAAACGAATGTTTTAAACAAAATTGGATCCCGATATTTTATATTATTCGTTTGAAATGTGAGTTGCAATAAATGCGAACATATATGTGTATGTATATTATTGTATATTATGTTTTGTTATTCCTATAAGCCCGTTGTGATAGGTTTTTTTTTTAATCGCTCGAACTATTGAAAAAATGAAATTTTGGAGAAATATGGGGGCCTCCTTAAGATCATAGCATAGAGGCCACAAAATCGTACATCCTGTGTGTTGGACATTGAGCAATGAATAAGGCAGTACAGTACCTTTTTTGCGTCTGTCGGATACCATGCTGGCAGCAATGTTGTTTCGGTATTTTGCGTGATATACGCGTATGTTTCATTTAGTAAGATTATTAACACCAACTTCAGTATAAAAAACATGTTGCTTTATGAGTTTTTCAATTTTCAATTATATATTAAATAATTTATATAAACACGTTAGAATACTCTCATGTCCGTTATATCTCATAAGATTGCGTACCAAACACATACTGGCACATCTGTATTTAGGAATATGCTTCGTGTCGTTTGACTTTTATTGTATATTATCTCCTTGCTACATGTATATGTATAAACATTTTTGTTTTTGAAATATAAATTTGTGAAGAGTAGTACTTATTGTAAGTACGACAGTAGGTTTAGAAAATGCAATTTATTGCTAATATGTGTAATATGTAACATTATTGAGATAGGCGTCTAAATCCAGGAGAACATATAAAGATTAACAGCAAAGAGATCATAATTCTAATCAAATTGAAAAGATTAATTTGAGATCTTTGAGAAATTGTATAATTTCTCTGAGAATCGAGGCATCGTTTGCACGTTTAATTCACGCTCGGTTCGCAAGATGGCACCACTTATCGGGTCTTATTAGAACCTGTATGACTGACGTATAAGTGACGTATGATTGACGTTTTATGTGTATACTCGTATGTAAATATGTTGAACTTTTAATTTAATCCCAAACAGCGTGATTTGAATTAAAAATTTCTTTTGTTTATTTTAATAGTTTAAAGAAACATAAAGAAACTGATATGACAGAACTAAGTGATAATACTGCACTTGGCACTATTGTATTCAACGTGAGATATATGGATTTAAATTTAAAAAATATAAAGACTGCGTATAAAATCTTTTTTTAATTTAAGTACGTGTAATATAACTCTTAATTTAATTATTCGATCGATTAATCCATTTGACAAGATATTATAATAAAGAACTACTGCAAAATCTTCACAGGTGATATAAATTTTTACTACATATATTATAACATTTATATACTATAAAAACTTAGTTGTTATATATGTCGTCAGTTTTATACAGTTTTCATGAATCTTTGTGTGTATTTAATTTTTAATAATTTTAATAAGTATGTATAATAGGTTTTGTATAACTTTAAACGTTTATAAATTTATGAGTGTGATATAATTTTTTTATTGAAACATATTGTTGATGGCGATTTCTAATCGACATTTTATCGACTTACTGATGAGTTATTTGGTTCGTTATAAACGATATCTCAAAGCTAACATAAAAAGAAGGGTAAAGACTTTGATTAAAACAGTTTTTATCTTGATTCGATGCGTCATATTATCTATTAATTATCTATCAATTTTATTAATTTTCTATTAGGTCCTTGAATAAGTTCTCGCTGTTTCTTAAAAGATGGCGTAGCGGCACTCTGTGCATGGAATTTCGTACGGAAACGCATCAGCTAAGTAGTACTATATGTAACCTCAAATTCTAGTAGATACAGTTTACCACAGTGTCAACCACGTATTTAATTACCTATTGCGAAAATGTCTACTTTTGTGCCAAATAAAGTGTTTTTGCGGGGAATTTTATTGCACTGCTTTATTCAAAAGAAATCTGCAGCTGAAGCACACAGAATTCTTGTTGAAACATATGGTGACAATGCTCTGTCGAATACGACATGCAGAGACTGGTTTAGGCGCTTTAAAAATAATGACTTTGACCTTGAAGATAAAAACGTTCTGGAGCACCGACAAAGTTTGAAGACGAAGAAACCTAATGAAACTATCACGGGAGCTCGCTATCGACTTCAGATGATGCGTTTGAGTCGAGC